TGCTTCGCTACCCAGAGCCAGACCCATCGCGGCGGAGGGATCCCGTCGCCTCCAGCTGCCTCCTCCCCCTTCTGCTTCTGCTTTTTTTTTTTTTTTCCTCCTCTCCTCGCTCTTTTGCGAGAAAATAATTTGACAGCGATTTGCTGACAGCGGGATTTCGTGCATCACGGGCGAGGGAAGGGCGGCGCGGCCGGAGCCGCCGCGGGAGGCCGTGCCGGAGGTAAGCGACCGCTCCGCAGCCTCCCCGCGGGGCGCGGACCCGCCATGTGCCGGGCGGGCGGGGGCCGGGGCGGGTGCTGGCGGCGGAGCCGGGCCGTGCGGGCCGGGGGAGTTGCGTTTCCTGGCGGAGCGATATTTGTTTACGGGCTGCGCCGTAAGTAAAGTAGGACCCGGCCCCGGCGGCGCGGTGATCAATTAACTGTGCGGTCGCTCGCGCGGCGCCCAAAAGAGAGAAAAATCAGAGCCCCTCGTGCCGGCCCCCGTGCACTTGTTGCAGACTTGGCGCCAGGTAGGGCAGCGCTTCGCAAGTTTCATTTTTGCATGAGCTGGGGCTTCGCTTGCAAAATTGAAAAAAAAAAAAAAAAAAAAAAAAGTTTGCAGCTCACTTTCAGTCCGCAGCGCCGAGGCCCTGCCCGCAGCCGCCTCATCCTCCTCCTCCCCGCGGGGCCGCGGCGGGGGCTGCCCGGCCCCTACCTGCCCGCTGCGGCGGGCTGCTCCGGGCGGGGCCGGCAGTAGAGCCGCGCGGAGCGGCGGGAGGAAGGGAGGGAGGGAGGCGCGGGGCGGCCGCGAGGAAGTTGTCAACGTGCGGGGCCGGGCGGGGTGTACGTGTCCCCGCGCCGCCGAGGGGACCCGCGCGTGTCCCCGCGCGAGGTGGCGGCGTCCGACTGGCCGCGGTGCGGAGGTGCCTCGCAGTAGTGGGGAATGACTTCTGCTCTCCCCCTAGAACGGGAAACTGCTGGAGTGCGGGACGGCTGGGTTTTGTGTGCTGTCACAGTACGGGGTAATGACCAAAAGCTGCCAGCCAGATGCTTAAGTACCGGAGGGATGATTTGCAAGTGAAATGAACTGGCAGTTCACCAGTCAGTAAGTGGATAATGCCTACTCATCCTCTGCCGGCTTCTCAGATCGGTTTCGTGCCTGCCGCTCAGGCTGTAATAGCCAAGGTGTGAAACTTGGTGATGCCGACGAGCTCACCCAGTAGCATCCAACCTCTTGTCGTGTCCCGGCACAGCCGTGCCGACCATGACCAACACCAGTGATGTTCATAGGTTTTAACTGACTAATCTAATAGCAGTGAAATGGATACAGTGATCCATAGCTGAACTACTTACAGAAAAGGCTGCAAAGCACTTAATTGCATGTTAGGCAGGTAATCACAAGGGTGAAGTTTTGTATCTCTGACAGTTGTAATTCTGCTGTATGTGCTGCAGAGAGCCCTCCAGGCCAGTTTGGGCCTTGCCCCGCTGCTCCTGCTGCCCTGCATCCCAGCTGGCCTGCGGGCACCTTTCTGGGACTGCCTCCTTCCTTGACTGGAGGATGTGCTGTCACCACTACGTTTCTCATAAGACAGTATTTCCCTAGAAATGCCCATTTCACTTTGCCACCTGCTGTGGGGATGTGGCATGATGTTCCTGGTATGTTCTCAAACATGGGGTCTGATTTTTGGGTGTTGCTGTGTGAAGCCAGGATTTGGACTCAGTGATCCTTGTGGATCCCTTCCAACTCAGGATATGAATCTGTGATTCATTGTTATCTGCCTTTCTGAGCCTTAACTGAGGTTTGAATTTTAACATCCCAAGTGCTGCTTCATCAATGCTCCACCTATGCATATATATTGTGGAAGTTAACCTGTGGCCTTGTAATTCATAAAGGAAGGTCATGCCAAATGGACTGTTAAGTTAGAATTTAGATAAGCAATTTTTTCATATGAAGAAAACATATCCTGCATTTTTCTTCTATAGCTAATGATCTCACGTACTTTGGAAGAAGGAGAGGCTCCTACATGCTACACTCCAAGCTTTTGTTGCACATAAATGCTTTTATGATCCTTTCTGCTCCAGCTGATAAGTAGATCAAGTTTCTGAAGTTGGGAGACTCCAGCAAGGGGCTGAGCTGCATTATGAGGGCGTCAGTCAAACCAGCATGTCTAGATAGCTCAAATATGAGTAATTCAACTTGAATGATCACATGGGCTTCACCGTGGTTGCCAGCCTGGGCACAGAGTGTGTGCTCAGCCTGTAGGTACAGTGGTAAGGGTGGCATTCGGCAGCCCTGCCATTGATGCATGCCCTGCCCTGGGCACAGTGGGGCCAGGTAGGGTCCTGTGAGTAACCATAGCATGAGTAACCTCCCTATCTAACACTGACTCACATTACGTTTGGAGGCTGAATAAAATCTCCGTGTGATACTCACTTCGTGTTGCTGGCCTCTGCCGATCACGTGCCACTGATTTGGGCCTAGGACCATAGAGCAAGTCCTTTCAGGTTACTTTGCTTTTGGGAAGCACTCAACAGGGCTGTGTAGGAAGAGGGACTTCCTAGATTTTAAGCTCAGAATTCCATTGCACGTGCTTCTTTGGTCCGTTTCCAGGGATATAGGGAGGTGTGCTTTTGTAAACTGGGATCGTAATTTAGCATCTGGTAAGGAGTGTGAGAAAAGTATATAAAAAAAACAGTCATGTAATGTACTGCAGGTTTTGTAAAGCAGTGAGGTAATATTCTGCTGTGGATGTTTTAAACTATTATTGTAATTTTTGGTTTATTCCAACCTAGCAGGGAATGTAGGTCTCTAAGAAAGTTGCTTGGTGAGGGCCTTCCTCCCCTTTCCCAGTACTGTAAAGACAGCGGTGAACTGAGGGAGAGTGGCCCTGGGATCTGTGGTGTCACTGTGTGATTCTGGTGCTGGAAGGCTGTCTCTTTATGATGTGTCATAGCAACTTGTGAGATAAGGCAGTTTCATTTGAGCTTCCTTAGAAATACTTAAAAAAAAACAAAAGAAACAAACAAAAAAAACCCCGTGTTAGATAGATGCAAAGTAATTGGGGATGGGGCAACAATTTGTTTCCCCTCTATTTAGGCCTTTTTTGATACTGCATAGCTTCCAATGAAGAACTGTGATCAGAATGGCATATTTTTCTGCCTCTAAAATCAGGGTGATCCTTTTGCCTTTGCCACACCTCTGCAATGGAGATAGCCACATCTGCAAGCGCAGGCATCAGTTCTGCTAGGTCTTGGCTTCCAGGCACTCATATACTTATGTGAGTTGAACAGCACCAGCAGTGGCAGTGAGCAGCTGGATTGCTGTGCCTGTCAGTGTGGTGGGATGGGGAGCTGCATTTGGCACTAAAAAAATGAAGACAGCAAACTCTGTATGGGTTGCCACATATGAAGGTATAAAACTTCTCTGACTTGACTGGCTCCGAGAAACCTATTATTGTCATCAATTGCAGGGCTGTAAGGGGAAATCAGGCCTTCTAAGATAAAGACAAAAATAGCACATTCAAATATATTTTAAGAAAGGCACTCTTCCTTCAAAGAGTGTTTCTGAGCACAGCTCAAAGAACAGTGGCCTAAGTTTCATCTGTTTTAGTTGTTTATTTATTTTTAATCTTTTCTTGCAACCAGACAGGTTGCAGAGGTGCATGGCTCCCACTTGTGGGCAGGCGTCCATTTTCTGTCCCTTGTTTGGCTGCATTGCTGCAGGGTCCTCAGCAGTGTCTGTATGGCATAGGCCTGCTGGAAGCAAATGGCTCGGAGCACCACTGCTCTGGGACCTTTACACCCCACCAGTGCAGACCCAGTTCTGGGGAACAGCCCACCCTTACAACATGGGCACTTGGTGCCATCAATCAGAAGGAGCAACTCAAATCTTGTGCTGTTTCCCAGCTTTCCTCTAGTCTCCCTTTCAGAGAGTTCTGTTGAGAAAAGGGCAGCATCGATGGGCATGAAAAGCTGGAAAATGCATTCAGGCTACAATCTGCCCAGAGAAGCTGTGGGTGCCCCATCCCTGCAGGCACTCAAGGCCAGGTTGGATGGGGCCCCGGGCAGCCTGAGCTGGGAGGGACAGCCCTGCCCACTGCTGGGGTTGGGAAGGGGTGGGCTTTGAAGTCCCCTCCAACGCAAACCCTTCTGTGATTCTCTGATTCTGTGATACAGCCTGCTGCCTCTGAAACCTGAAGGCAAGCACCCGGTCTGTGTTACTTTCTCCTCAAGAAGGTGGTGATTTGGGGGACTCACAGCAAGTTTTTAACAGATGCTACATTGCCCTGTAATTGAGTGTTTTTTAGAGATTAGACTTCACGTTACAGTGGGGGTCTTGCAACATTTTGGGTGAGTTCCGTAGGGTTGGGTATATTTTGAGGTTCTGAGTGAAATGAGTCTTGTGGTTTCAGCTTAACTCCGTAACAAAGGGTAACGTGTCTCACACAAACATCCCACCTAAGTTTTCATAGTGACTGATGATTTGCTCTGGAAAGACCCAAGGTGCTGATATGATGCAAACTCAAAAGGTAGCAGACTTTTTTTTTTTCTTCTTCTTTTTTTTGGGGGGGGAGGAAGGTGGGGGGGGGGGAACGTGGGTGTTGAGGGGAAGGAGCTTGTCTTTCTCCAGTTTACAGTTTAAAATTTGTTAGAATTTCATCCAAATCTCTGATCTTCAGCTTTCCATCTGCTGGTCACTTTATTTTCCACGTACACAGCCCCAAACGCCAAGTTTCCCTACTCCACTGCTGAGACCTTTGCAAAGCAGCCATCCTAGGCCTTATCACAAAATTTCTCAAGTCTTTTTAGTCCAGCAAGAAAATGGTTGCTGCCTTTCCCCTCCCTCCTCTCGTCAAGTGCTCATTGTAAGAATTTTGATAGAGACTGCATTGTGATATGTCCTTGAAGTGCAGTGCTGCAAGGTTTTGTTTTGCCTTTTTATTTTTTTTTTTCACATTTAGACTTACTTGCATTTATAGCAAAGCAGGATTGTTGTAGATGTTCTTTTTTATATATATATATTATTGTTATTTTGTTGTTTGTCAAAAATCTTTGTTCAGTAATGAGGGAAAGCTTTGACTCGGGTACTAAAAGCTCCAGCTAACCTTAGAATGGTGTTAAGACTGCAAAAACATGGGGGAAGGATTGCTCCAGCTGAGCACATATAGGTTAAATGTTGAATTGTTTGCTGCTTTGCTTTCAGATGTAGGAGATTTTTTGTTCACCCTGTCACAAGGTCTCT